GAACTGCCTTTGCCAAAAACTATTCAACACATCTCCCTATCATTAGGAATCGATTGCTTTTTGAATTATTCAAATCGGTTGAGCGGTACTCCCGAAAACGTTGATGAAAAATTGTACCCACACATACATACATACACACACATACATTTTTTAAGTATTCCAAATGTTCAGAAACCTCTGAAATGTGAAGATATGCAATAATTTTCACTTTCGATTTTTGTACTTGCCCTACGGAAAGTTATAACTTCTTGATAGCCAACAACTGAGCATATTTGATTCGAATTATTTTAAAATATTTATTATGAGAATCTTAACTAGCTCTAAGTGGAATTCTGTCTTATGGCAATTAAGGCATCGTGCCTTAAGGCAAATTGCTGGAACTTCCCAAAAATTATTATTTTTTAAACATTTTTGAAAAAATTTTACTTCGAAAAAATAAGATTTTTGAGAAACTATAAATTGGACATAAAATTACTTTTTTTTTATTTTTTTTTTTTTCGAAAAAAATGTTTATTTTATTTTGACATATTTTGGAAGATCTAAACTTTTTTTCAAAGCAATCGTACTGCTTTAACTGCATAAAGACGAAATATCAAAACGCGTAAGCGCCGCGTCGCCGTCTAACGCGTAAATATTGGTACGGAACCCATAGGAATGTAAACCAAATTTATACTTATTGTTAAAATCTCTATAAAATATCTGATAATTTGATGTGCATATGTCTAACATTCATTTTTGACCGCCAAATGGCATTTTTTTTTACTTTTTTCATTAGATCGCCGAAACCGCTGGACCTGCCTTTATGAAAATTTGATCTGTTCCTCACCTTGTCAATACAAGTAAAATGTTTTTTGAATTATTAAAATCGGACGCTTCGTTCTCATATAAACTGAGTTACCGTTTTTGGCACTTTTTGCCCCGTATCTTCGGAACGGCTAGACCTGCCTTCACCAAAAACTAATCAGCACGTCTCCTTATCAATACGAATCGAATGTTTTTTGAGTTATTCAAATCGGTTGATCGGTGTTCCCGAAATCGTCGACGAAAATTTGTATCCGCACATACATACACACACGCACATACACACACACACACACACACATACATCCATTTTTTCTAAGGTATGCCAAAATATTCAGAAACCTCTGAAACGTAAAGATATATAAAAATTTTCATTTTCGATTTTTTTGCGATTACTATAACTTGCCCTACGGGAAGTTAAAAAATTCAGAATTTCCAAAATATGTCAAAATGAAGAAAACATTTTTCTTTTCAAAAAAATTTTGTTTTGCAAAAAAAAAATTTTTTTTTTAAAGTAATTTTTTGTCAAATTTATGGTTTCTCAAAAATCTAATTTTTTCAAAGTAATTTTTTTTCAAAAATGTTAATTGTTTTTAAAAAAATAATAATTTTTGGAACGGGAAGTTCCAGCAATTTGCCTTAAAACACGATGCCTTAATTGCCTTAAGACAGAATTCCACTTACAGCTAGTTTTTATTAATTTAGTTTTCGGTACGGGAAGTTCCAGCAATTTGCTTCAAGGCACGATGCACTACTAGTTTGAATTATTGGCCTATGTTATTTGTTTAAAGTATGGGCAGTTCTGTGAATATTAATAGTTCTTCTTAAACGATTACATGATTATCTATTATCTATTAAGGTTTGGAAACCGTTCGAGTCAATCCAGATGCTCCGTCCGTACTCTTCGTGGCCGCGAGCGATTTGTCTATTGAATCACTGCCAATACAATATCATAATATCACAAACGAACAGAATTATATTGATGATCGTCCGCTAATTGAAATTTATAAACAACGAATCGTTATTAGCTTGTAGGCATCATAATGGACTATTGGCATTTGCAGGAGTTGAATAGGATATTTGCAAGAATTTCGATAAATACCGATTGCAATTCAGGGTGTGGGTTGGAGGAGTGATTCTCAAACCCAAAGAGATAGTGCTCGAAAGCATCGCCCAATAATCAAACTTATTCAGCAATTTTATTGAAATCTGAAGAAATTCAATTTTCAGCCACAAATCGTGTATGTCATGCATCTAACTACGAGTGTCGTCTATAGACGACATATAGTTTTTCAATATATGTTTCAACATTCATCGACCTAAGTTATCCCGAAGTGTTTCTTTTAATTTTTAATACATTTTTATTAATTCACAATGTTTGGTAAATCTTGAAATACATGGTCTGTTCAAAAAGTTTTCGGAATTTCCGTTTTTTCAAAAAAATATTTATTTATTCGTCTACATTAATGTGGTCCCCTTCAAAGTAGTCCCCCCCAGATATAATACACTTATGCCAGCGTTTTTTCCAATTTTCGAATCACCCTTGATATTCACTTTTTGATATGTCCTTGAGCACTCTCAGCGATTTTCTTCAATCGAGGAAAACCGCCGTCCTTTCATGGGTCTCTTCAACTTTGGGAATAGGAAAAAGTCACACGGAGCCATATCTGGTGAATTTTTGCACTTTGCAACACTTTATTTCATTTTTTACGCAAAATTTAATACAAATTCTTTGACTTTTCAATTCTTCCATTGTAAAAATCGCCGAGCTCAGAAAAACACGTCGAACCTTAGCGACTACCACAGACAAAGTAAACAGTGAATATAGCTGAAAATTTCATCATACTTTAGGGGCATGTATACCAACACAATAAAAAAAAAATTTGACAATCAGACACTCCAGACCCGCGAAATTTAATTATTAGTAATTCCGGGTACTTTTTGAACAGACCTCGTATTTTGTTGTGACTGGTCCCTTTAGAAGAGCTACTGGGCGGCTCTCTGTTCCATACAGCAGTGTCATTTCTGCGGAAAATACTGCTGTTGCAAAAGAGCAGAGACACTGCTAGTTTAAAAGCAATTTTAAACGTTTAAAAAAATATGCACGTGTTTCAATCAATTGGAATAAAATCTTTTTTGAATCATTTAAAATTGTTCATCCGTGCACTCGATATCGTTAACAAAAAATTATATCCAAACATACATTCATTTTTTCTAAGATATGCCAAAATATTCACAAATTTCTATCTCGTGCAATGGTCCAATAATATCGTTTGTTTTCTATATGATAAAGAACTTATGAAAGCTCTTTATTTAGAAATGTTTAGATTGAATCTAATGAATTATTTCTTTATTATTTATATTAGATAGAAACACCACATGCGTGTAATCGTTGATTGATTCCTATGAATAACATAAACATATAACAATAACATACCTTTTGATAAATATTCAAAAGACAATTGTTAAGTGTCTATTTATAATCTCAGAAGTCGATAAAGTTCGAATTAGTATATATGCAATATCGAATTCATTTCTGCTTATCTTATCATACTATGTGAACTAAAGACTTCCAAATAAAGATCTATCGTAAGTTTATGGCATAAAAATACAAAAATGCTTTCTCCTAAAAAATGGTCTTGATCACAATAATCGCTTTTAAAATGAGTCTTGGGTCAATAAATGAAGAGTTTAAAATCAAAATGATAATACGCATTTCAATTCTGTACTTCTAATTTTTGTAATATAATAGTATTTTTTGATTTTTCAAAATTCGAATGATTTGTTTTCTTCCTAATAAACGAGCTCAACAAAGTTCAAACTAATGGCATCGTGCCTTAAGGCAAATTGCTAGAACTTCCCATACCGTAATGAACGAGAAAATTGAAATGGAGAATATTGGAGAAATATAAATTGCTTTCAAATATACTATTATAAATGCTGTAACATTCGTTATTCGTATTTTATAGACAAAATATAAGAGCTTTTAAATTGGACAATGACTTTCATATAAGTTTGCATGAAAAGTATATAAACAAAACTTGATCAAGCGGAGTTGGAATGTAGTAACTTATCTCATATTTTTAAGAATTATATGAACTGAATAGCAAACTTAAAATTATTCATTTTAAGTATATAAGTGAGTTTTAGAATTTGAATTTTAGAATTAAAATTAAAATCCAAATCATTTTTGATATTAAAAAAAAAATTTAAAACAATTTTTGAGAGAACATCAACAAAATGATCAAAAACCTTAGAGTAACTTTTGCAGAGAGAATTAAAATAAATACTAATTCTATTTTTATATTTTTTCATTCTGATTATTTAAATTGATAAGATTTTTAAAGTACCTAGTGAAACCTAGTGACTTTTTTAATAACAAAAATAATATATATAAATATATAATGATTGAAAATCGATTAGAACTCATTGGTTTTTCGTTAGATATTAATTATAAAAAATAGGTCTATAGGTCTACCAATCTTGACACAAAATTATTTGAACTGTACCGATTATAATTAATTAGTTCAATCCGAGATCAAACTTTATTCGCTAATTTAAAAAAATTGGCTCAGTTTGAAAAATGTTTAACAAACCACTGAGACAAACCCAAGGTTTCCACAAAAGCAAAAAGAAGATAAAACTTCTGATTAAGATTTTTATAGCAACTATCAGAAATCAATAACTAATTTCCTCATGGAACTCGAATGTTTCGATTCCTTAACGCAAGAACAAAATTTTGACAAGAATATTTGCTCATTTAACAAAAACGCCTCAGTTTGTAAAATACTTACCAACCTACTGAAATAAACCTAAAGTTTCCATAAATGCAAAAAGAAGACAAATCTTCTGAATTCGATTTTAGTAGCAACTATCAGAATCAATAACTATATTTCATTATGGGACCCAGATGTATCGATTCTTAAAAACAAAAACTAAATTTTGACAAGAATATTTGCTAATTTCAATAATGTGTCTCAGTTTGATAAATGTTTAACAAACTACTTAGACAAACCAAAAGTATCCAAAAATGCAAAAAGAAGATAAAACTTCTGATTTCAATTTTTGTAGCAACTATCAGAAATAACAACTTATTCAATCATAGGACGCAAATGTAACGATTCTTAAATGCAAAAACTAAATTTTGATAAGAATTCTTCCTAATTCAAAAGTGACATGACTTATTTTTAGAAACTCACCTTTCTTCAGAAGTATTCTACTCTTCGTGCTACAGCTTTTGGCCACGCTTAAATTTAACGGTTCACTAGTTTCTAAGCTCACTACATCCTCATTTATTGTCCTGTTTTTAGATTCCTTTCCCCATCCTAGGATGTCTGCTATAAAATGAGGCGTTGGTGCCCTTGGCGGCCTTGCATATACATGAGGATGCCAAGAGGCGGCACCAGCAACATTGCAACCAGAAATATCAATCGAAACAGGCAAACTAGCTGCAGGAGATGGTGTTTCTGACAGTCTTGGAATCTTGGCACACTTGAAAGGACTATCGGATCTATCCGAATCCAGATTTGATAAATGAGAGTCCTGCTCCAATTTCAAACCTTCGATATTAGAAGTTTCATAAGTCCCTTCCAGAACATCTTGTGGTGCATCCACTTGAGACAAATTACTTGATGATAGCCTTTCATAATCGTCTATTGGCCCTTGTCTTTCACTTAAACTAGGAGATTCCAGCCTAGACAAACAAGGTTCTGCATAATTATGTGATGATACCATTTCTTCACCAGGAAGAAGGCTAAACGTTGAATCACCAGGAGTTATCTCGTCATCTGCAGTTGCCACTTCGGCAGTCTCCATCATGTTGTCTAGAGGTTCCGATACTGCGGCGTGCATCACAATTAGATGAAAAGACTTCAATCATCGACTTATTTTTCACATCATATGTGTCGAAAAGCAACGCATTTAGATGTCACATGATCATTTTAACCATAGCAAGTAGATTCAATATTGATGTCAGTATCTATTTTACATTCTAGTAGACAATTTGCATGTGGTTTTTTGCTCGAGCATTATTTTTATGACTTGGCCAGCGTCATCATGTCCAACCTGTAAAGAGAATAAAAGACAATTTAATATTTATTATTACTTACGAATATTATATTACTAAATAAAATTGAAATTACGAATATTACTAAATAAAATTGAAAAATTACACAGGTCCACCAAATAAAAAAGAGTGCGCGTAAGGTTCACACGCGATTGAAGTAAAACTTATTTGCTACTGTACAAGTTGGCATTTAAGTAAAAATAAATACATCATATAATAATTTTGAATAATGTTCATTAGTAGTATGGTAACACTCAGGTAACACTAACATTATACACATTTATATAATGATTAATTATAAAGTATATATTTATAATAGCATTAAAAATATGTATAATTTTTAAAAACAATAATGTAATTAAAGTTATACTTCAAATATGAAATGGTCGGTTTGATTGTAATTAGCATTCAAAAATGAACCTTCATTAGAGATATGAAGTAATTGCTGATTAATAACTTCTATAATTGTTATGAAGGAATATGTTAAACAACGACTAAATAAATATTGTTTTCGCAACTTCACTCATCATGTAATTATGTGTTAAGAACTTTATGTAATTAAAATTAACATGCATTCATTGACTGCTTGTTTTTTTTTTTACTTTTTCGCTGGCGATACAGTCTCATTCTTTGAACAGCTGTAGTATCTGTTTTGCATATAATTTCCATTTTAATAACGTAACCTTAAAATCTATAATGACATTCCGAACAATATGGTTCTTGCATTTGGGGACAAACAACGTATACGCCATGTATACGCATATAATCAAACCAATCATACTCACGCGACACGACGACTAATCACAATCGACCCGTATAGAAATGATATCATCGAGAGCGAACGACGAATCATTGGCGCTCGACTCGGCCGTAACGCTTTTTCCGTTGCATTTGCACAGATTTACACCCTAGTCGCGCCTAATGAAGTTATACTTCAAAAAAGTTGTCTGTATTAAGTATGCGGCATATGTTTTCCAATGTAGTTTTTACCGCTGAATATGAATCAAAATTGGGGTCAAATGACAAAAGCTTTAAAAAAAATTGAAAAAACGACAAAATCTACGATCTACTCATTTTTCTGCATGATGCTTAAACTCTTATAATTCTTGTCGTTTCCTGACCTTATCTATCTTATTAAATATCCGCTTAAAAAATCTATTAATTAAGTTTTTTTGGTAGAATACAGCAGTATTTTGCCAACACATTTTCAGATACTCAAATTGCAAACATGATTGCAGATTACCCAGCGGCAATGGGGTGCAAAATTAGTTTGCAAATTACTGCTGAATTCTACAAAAAGACTCAATAAATCATTTAATTGAAACTCAATGGTCATTTAAGGTAAGAAAGGTTTGGAAACGAGAAAAAATATAAGATTTTGATTATTATGCAAAAGAATAACTAGATCGGAGATTTGGTCGTTATTTTAACTTTTTTTTTTCAATTTTTTGTAAGTTGACCCCCAATTTTGATTTTAGATTATTGGAAAACATATGCCGCAAATCCAATACAGACAACTTTTTTTAATTTTGTGGACCTGTGCTATCACTTTTTTTTTATTGTTTTATTGAAAAATAAAAATGCATGTTAGAATAATTGCAAACCAATGAAGAAACTTGGTTCTTCAATAATTCCAATTAATTCATTCATTTAAAATAGATTTTACATTTATGTGGCTCTTTATTGATTATGAAGACAAATTTATTGTTTGCCGACTAATATTTATAAATATTGATTCTATAAACAATCTTCTGTCAAAGTTATAATCCGTGCGAAAATTAGTATTGAAATTGATAAATGTCTGTTTTGTTTGTGTCTAACTTAAATTTTACGACTGTTTTGATGAAGAAAATATTAAATGGTGCCTCAAGAGCTACAATGAAAAATAAAATTACAATATTATAAGACAATAAATAAATCCCACCAATATAAAATCCATCATAGAAGATTTTATAACAGCTCAGGATAAAAATATGTTGCTTTATTGTAAAATATAAAATTCCATAATAGGTTTAAAAATGGTAATTTAAAAAAAACGTTTCGAATCAAGAAAATACCAAAAAATGTACAAATGACATATTAGTCAGCTATAAATAAGATAGGCAAACAAAATATTTATTATTAGAACAAACAAACCAGAAAAACATTTGAACAAGTCATCTGAAATCAAAAATAAATATTTTTCAAATAACGGACATGATAATCAAATTGGATTCAGATTTGATAGTAGTAAAAAAATAATAAATGATCTACCGAATTTTCCCAAAGGAAATGCATGACTATAATAATTAGTAGAAAATAAACAAATAGTTTACAAAACTTAAAAAATAATAAAACCAAAATTACTGCATAGTATCAAAAAGAAATTTCAATCAATCAAATATTTCTGCCCAATCAAAATGATACTATTTTAAAAATCGCATTTCATCTCTATTAAAAATATGGATCCACTTATTATTTATAAAAGAATTTAATTGAAATATTACTAGACACAGGTCTAAAAAAATATTTACTGCTATTAGGAAAGCAAATTAGGAAGCAATTTTGTTAAAATCGAAAATTTGATAAATTTAAAATTTCATTGATCCCACATGTTCGTATTCTCTGGTTTGCATCAACTTCATTAGATTTAATCAGCCTCACAAAAAACGTGGTGCATCTTTTTCAGTTTATTTATTATAGCTATCTATACAAAGTACATTAAACTAAAATTTTTGGCAATTAAAGAAGATTGCGTGTGAAGAATAACTAACCCAGCTGTTTCCAACCTGTGGGGCGTACCCCCTCAGGAGAGTGCAGTTACAGGGGGGCGCGTACGGCACTTTCCAAAATACTATTATCGAAAATAAATCAAAAATTTTGAATTAATATAAAAAACAATTAACGAAAAAAATAGTTATATTTAATGCATATTTTTACATAACATTGCATATTAATTTGTAGTCTGATAATATTCATGAAGTATTTATGAAATAAAATTGTTGAAAAAATTAAGGGGGCACAACATTTTTTTTATTAGAGCGGGGGGGGCGCGCAGTGCAAAAAAAAAATACTGAACTATCCATTAATAGCTCCTTCTATTTTAAGTGAATAACAGTTAATTAATTTCAAGCAGTCCGTGACGTCACTCTTACCGGATCGAAAAATTTTAAACTAGTTTTCGTACTGCATTGTCATAAACTCGTTTCCTTTTGCATATAAGTTAATTTATATCTAGTTTGAAGAGCATTTTTATATAAACTAGTGGTGTATAGCATCGTGCCTTAAGGCAAATTGCTGGAACTTTCCGTACTGCAACGAATTGTTCAAAGAATATTAAATGTTTTCAAATAGATTATTATAAATACTGTAACATTGTATAATATTTAAAAGAATTATATAAACTGAATTGAAAAGTTGAAATTATTTGTTTAAAGTATATTAGAACTTTAGTCAGAATTAAAATTAAAATCTGAATTATTTTCAATATACAAAAAAAATCTGATAAAAAAATTGAAACAAAGAAATTTTTTTTTCAAAAGCGATTATTTTGTTGAAACAAGCAGAAAGTTCTTTTGAATCATTCAAATCTTAGTTCTATTCTTAGTATGCTTAGTTCTCTCAAAAACTGCCATTTTTGCCACATTTAGCTCTGTATCTTTGAAATTGCTGGACCTGTCCTTGCCAAAAACTAATCACCTCTTCTCCCAATCATTACAAATTGAATGTTTTTTAGATCACTCCAATCGGCTACTCCGTTCTCTCAAAAACTCGATTTGTATTTTCTGCACTCTTTGCTCCGTATCTCCGAAACGGTTGGATCTGTTATTGCCAAAAACTAATCAGCACATATCCGTATCAAGAGGAATAGAATATTTTCTGAACCATTTAAATCGGTTGATCCGTGCGCCCGAAAACGTGAACGAAAAACACGCGCACATCCATTTTTTCTAAGATATCCCAAAATGTTTGGAAACCTTCAAAACGCGAAAATATGCAAAAAGTTTCAATTTCAATTTTTGGACGATTACAATAACTCACTAATTACAAACACTACGGGAAGTTTAAAATATTAACTATTACGAAGAAAATGCCAGGCAGATCTTTGCCAAAAACTAATCAGCACGATTTTGCAAATGATATCTTTTGAATGGTTTTAAATTTTCAAAATCGGCTCAGTTTTCAGGGGTTGGCTGAAACATGGATGAAATTTTAGCAATTTTGCGCTAAAAAATGGCTCGGGCGATCGTCTCGCAATCAACGCGAGTCTTTATCGAGTTTCGACAAAGAGCTTCTACATATTTAAAATCGATGCAGCCGTTTTTGAGAAATTATTGATGAAAGATTTGAGGTCACATATATTCACGGACACAATTTTCCAAAATTGGTCTCAAACGATTTAAAACGATTTAAAACGTCTAAAAAGTATATAATTATAGTGTATATATTATAAGTAAAAGTAAAAGTAATTATAGTGTATATATTATAAGTATATAGTCAATCTAAAAAGTTTAGAATTTTGAACTATTATTATCTGAACTAGTTGGTAAAATTAGCAAGTCGAATTTTCTGGCGAACAAACTTCTACTTCGACTTTGTTTAATGGATCAATATAGTCGACTAAAGACTATTAGACTATTTGACTGAATTTCAAAAAGTTCAGCGATCGTACTAAACCGCTATTTAAACATAATACCTGCATACACTATAATTAATTATATTATTGTTTAATTAATTGATATATTAACATTTGTAGTAATATATTTAATGAGAGTAATAATGATGGGAAGTTAACCCTGCAGTCATATCCATTAACGATATTTATATGATTTTTAATTACACAGCGACCGGGCATTATTGTAAACCATTAATTATCATCGTTATTTAGATATGAAAATAAAATATAGCAAATAATGATATAAAGCAATTTTCATCCGCAATGAAATGCTGCTTGACAAGTTAAAAAAAATTACATTTTTTTATTGCCTTCCAATTTTTTATTGTAGAGTAAATAATATAA